ACAGTTCCTACCATATTTCTCTGTACTCGCCAATATTAAAAAAAGACAAAGTCTACTAAATATAAACTAAATATTCTCTAAACTACAAACAAATAATTGCACAAATATAAAATCAAAAATACTTTCAATTCAATTTAATGTATTTGTGTTGCACTGTATATAAGTGGGTCTGTATCGTGTATATGTATGCCTTGTGTATGTGTATATGTATGTGTATGTGTTTATGTAGGTGTATGTGTGTATGTATGTGTATGTGTGTATGTATGTGTATATGTGAATGTATAGTGTATATGTATGTATGTATAGTATGTATGTGTGTGTGTATGTACAGTGTATGTCTGTATATATGTGTGTATGTATTGTGTATATGTGTATGTGTGTATGTATGTGTATGTGGGTTTGTATAGTGTAGATGTGTATATGTGTATGTGTGTATGTGCGTGTACTTATGTGTATATGTGTATGTATGTGTGTATGTATAGTGTATATGTGTATGTAACTGTAAGTGTATGTATGTGTATATGTGTAGTGTGTATGTATGTGTATGTGTGTATGTATAGTGTATATGTCTATGTATGTGTATGCATAGTGTAAATGTGTATGTACTGTATGTATGCGTGTGTTTGTGTATGTGTAGGTATGTGTATGTATAGTGTAAATGTGTATATATGTGTATGCGTGCATGGATGTGGGTATATGTGTATGTAAAGTGTATGTAAAGTGTATGTGTGCTCTTCCACTGAAGGATGGAGCCGGTCAAAGATACAGAGGAGTTGAATGTGATTTTCCTCCGTGTATGGTTCATGTTACCACAGTATTCCGGCCCTTACGATGCTGCGACCAACGGGTTATGGCAACCAACGGGTTATGGCGACCAACGGGTTATGGCGACCAACAGGTTATGGCGACCAACAAGTTATGGCGACCAACAAGTTATGGCGACCAACGGGTTATGGCGACAAGTAATGCCATCAACGGGTTTTGGCAACCAACGGGTTATGGCGACCAACGGGTTATGGCAACGGGTTATGGCGACCAACGGGTTATGGCGAACAACAGGTTATGGCAACTAAATTGTTATGGCGACCAACAGGTTATGACGACCAACGAGTTATGGCAACCAATGGGTTGTGGCGGCCAACGGGTTATGGCGGCCAACGGGTTATGGCGACCAACGGGTTATGGCGATCAACGGGTTATGGCGATCAACGGGTTATGGCGACGGATGAGCCAGGTGAGAGTGAAGAAGGAGGCCATTTTGAATGAGCCAGTTGAGTGTGAAGAAGGAGGCCCTTCCCCAGAGTCCTGTCCCATTATGAGTCGTTCTGGTCACGTACAGAGTCCTGTTTCAGTATGAGTCGTTCTAATCACATAAAGAATCCAGGTTTAAAACACAGGTGTAAACACAGGTTAAACAGATGGTAAACACAGGTGTAAACACAGGTTAAACACAGGTGTAAACAGCTGTAACGGTCCTGAGCAATAGTAAAACAAACATTTAGGACTGAGTTAAAATAGACTGAGAGAGAAACAGTGAAAAGAGCCAAGATTCTTCATTCTCCACAAAGAAATCAGATATTCTCCATAAACCACCGGCGGCTCCGGCCCCCCCCCCCCCCCTGTGAGTGTGTGGATCATAGACTGTGAGAGACCCCCCCTCGGCCTGGAGGCAGCTGCAGGAGGCTGCTCCGTGGAGAGTTTCAGATCGACTCGTGTTTGAATAAAAATCTCAGAATCAGCAGCAGATCATCCACAAACACAGACTGAGGTCACATGATCCTGACTATTTACAAGTGGGAACAATATGTTTCGTGTTTTCATCTGGACGGTGAGGGTGAGGGTGAGGTGAGGGTGAAGTGAGGGTGAGGGAGACATGTGACAGAGTGAGACATGTGACAGAGTGAGACATGTGACAGAGCAAGTATGTGACAGAGTGAGACATGTGACAGAGTGAGACATGTGACAGAGCAAGTATGTGACAGAGTGAGACATGTGACAGAGTGAGACATGTGACAGAGCAAGTATGTGACAGAGTGAGACATGTGACAGAGTGAGACATGTGACAGAGTGAGACATGTGACAGAGTGAGACATGTGACAGAGTGAGACATGTGACAGAGCAAGTATGTGACAGAGTGAGACATGTGACAGAGCAAGTATGTGACAGAGTGAGACATGTGACAGAGTGAGACATGTGACAGAGTGAGACATGTGACAGAGCAAGTATGTGACAGAGTGAGACATGTGACAGAGTGAGACATGTGACAGAGCAAGTATGTGACAGAGTGAGACATGTGACAGAGTGAGACATGTGACAGAGTGAGACATGTGACAGAGTGAGACATGTGACAGAGCAAGTATGTGACAGAGTGAGACATGTGACAGAGCAAGTATGTGACAGAGTGAGACATGTGACAGAGTGAGACATGTGACAGAGTGAGACATGTGACAGAGCAAGTATGTGACAGAGTGAGACATGTGACAGAGTGAGACATGTGACAGAGCAAGTATGTGACAGAGTGAGACATGTGACAGAGTGAGACATGTGACAGAGTGAGACATGTGACAGAGTGAGACATGTGACAGAGTGAGACATGTGACAGAGCAAGTATGTGACAGAGTGAGACATGTGACAGAGCAAGTATGTGACAGAGTGAGACATGTGACAGAGCAAGTATGTGACAGAGTGAGACATGTGACAGAGTGAGACATGTGACAGAGTGAGACATGTGACAGAGCAAGTATGTGACAGAGTGAGACATGTGACAGAGCAAGTATGTGACAGAGTGAGACATGTGACAGAGCAAGTATGTGACAGAGTGAGACATGTGACAGAGCAAGTATGTGACAGAGTGAGACATGTGACAGAGCAAGTATGTGACAGAGTGAGACATGTGACAGAGCAAGTATGTGACAGAGTGAGACATGTGACAGAGCAAGTATGTGACTGAGTGAGACATGTGACATAGTGAGTATGTGATAGAGTGAGACATGTGACAGAGTGAGGATGTGATAGAGTGAGACATGTGACAGAGTGAGGTGAGTGAGACATGTGACAGAAGTAAGTAATCTTTATTTATATACCACCTTTCTCAGACCAGAGTCACAAAGCGGTTTACAATTGTTATTTTTTGGGCACTTGTCCTCTCACTCCACACAGAGATGGGAGCGGGGCCAGTACAGGAGGCGCATGCCAGACCTATTGTACATATTTTTAGTGGTAGGGGAAACCGGAGTACCCGGAGGAAACCTACACAGACACGGGTAGAACATGTAAACTCCACTCAGAAAAGCCCTGGTCTGACCGGGAATCGAACCCAGGACCTTCTTGCTGAGAGGCGAGAGTGCTATCCACTCTGCCAGCGTGCCGCACATAGTGAATATGTGACAGAGTGAGACATGTATCAGTGTGGGTATGTGTGTGTGTGTGCGTGTGTGTGTGTGTGATGTTGTAAACACAGACCTGAGCCCTCAGAGTCACTATCTACTGCTGCAGGGGACACACAGGTACAAGGGGACACACAGATACAAGGGGACACACAGATACAAGGGACACACAGGTACAAGGGGACACACAGGTACAAGGGGACACACAGGTACAAGGGACACACAGGTACAAGGGACACACAGGTACAAGGGACACACAGGTACAAGGGGACACACAGGTACAAGGGGACACACAGGTACAAGGAGACACACAAGTACAAGGGGACACACAGATACAAGGGACACACAGGTACAAGGGACACACAGGTACAAGGGGACATGTAGGTACAAGGGGACACACAGGTACAAGGGGACACACAAACGTTACTGAGTTTCCTTTGCCATGGAAGTCAATAAGAGCCAGAGAGAGTTGGAGCTAGTTAGCATTGAGCTAGCAGGATAGCATTGAGCTAGCAGGATAGCATTGAGCTAGCAGGATAGCATTGAGCTAGCAGGGTAGCACTGAGCTAGCAGGATAGCATTGAGCTAGCAGGTTAGCATTGAGCTAGCAGGATAGCATTGAGCTAGCAGGATAGCATTGAGCTAGCAGGTTAGCATTGTCCATCTGTATACAGTAATTGTGTGTAAGTGTATGTAAGTGTGTGTAGTAGTGTGCAGTTGTGTGTAGTATTGTGTAGTTGTGTAGTTGTGTAGTAGTGTGTAGTATAGTGTAGTAGTGTGTAGTTGTGTAGTAGTGTGCAGAGGAGCAGACTCTACTTAATGAAAGTGTGTGATGTGTGTTTTGGCCTCGAGCCACTGCTCTGTTTAACGATGAGGCATTGATTAAAGATGTCCGCCACAGCTTTAACTTACATCTGTGTGTTTGCAGTTTATACACGCAGGACCAGGACCAGGACCAGGACCAGGACCACAGACCTCTGGTCCCTCTGGTCCCTCTGATGTCTTGGTCCGTGTAGTTCCCAGAGACCCCCCTGAGCAGTTAGACCCTAATCTCCAAACAGACGCTTTGGCCCGAGCTGCAGGAGCAGGATTAGGGTCTAACCCAATTAGGGGGCGCTCAGGGGGGACCAGGACCGACCAGACCAGGACAAGGACCAACAGGACCAGGACCAACAGGACCAGGACCAGGACCAACCAGGACCAACCAGACCAGGTCCAACCAGATCAGGACCAACCAAACCAGGACCAACCAGGACCAGGACCAGGACCAACAGACCCAGACCAACCCGGGCCAGGACCAGGAGGTCTGAGTGCAGGGCATTAGACCAAAGATGATTCCTGGGGTCAGGTTTCTGACAACACGCTTGTTGTCATGGAGAGGATGATCTCCGAGTTTGAACATGATCTTTAACTTTATGGAGTTTAAGATCAGTTCTTAATCATTCTGCTGATTATTAATTATAATCCAATTATGTAAATTGATTGTGAAAAAACTCAGAATAATTCTGTATTTTTTCTGTAATTTGAAAGTTGCGTCTAAAAAGCGTAATAACAGAAAAGTTTACTGTAGTATTTGTGTGACATCACAACACGAAGAGCAGAGGAACTCAGATTCTAATGTTCAGCACATGTCACTCTGAGGAGACGCCTAAGAGACGCTGAGGAGACGCAGAGGAGACGCCGAGAAGACGCTGAGGAGACGCCGAGGAGACGCTGAGGAGACGCAGAGGAGACGCCGAGGAGACGCTGAGGAGACGCAGAGGAGACGCTGAGGAGACGCTGAGGAGACGCTGAGGAGACGCAGAGGAGACGCTGAGGAGACGCTAAGGAGACGCCGAGGAGACGCTGAGGAGACGCAGAGGAGACGCTGAGGAGACGCCGAGGAGACGCAGAGGAGACGCTAAGGAGACGCCGAGGAGACGCTGAGGAGACGCAGAGGAGACGCTGAGGAGACGCTGAGGAGACGCAGAGGAGACGCTGAGGAGACGCCGAGGAGACGCAGAGGAGACGCTAAGGAGACGCAGAGGAGACGCAGCAAAGCCATTAACAGAAACGACCAGGCTCCTGCACAGCGTTTAGACGATGCTTGAAAACGCTGCAGTTGTAGCATGCTGCCTTTAGGGGGCAGTGGAACAACACGACACACGTTCACAGCAGTAGAAGCACTTCCTCATCAACATCCTCCTCAGGCCAAAGACGGGAAAGAACCAACAACATTCTGTAACAGCAGCAGTGAAAATGGAAAGAGAAACTACAGCTGTGGTTTGTGTGTGTGTGTGTCTGTGTGTGTGTGTAAGTGTCTGTCTGTGTGTGTCTGTGTGTGTGTGTCACTGGTGCCTGGCCAGTACAGAAGCGACCCCCGTCCAGTCAGTGTGCGTGGGAGGATCTGCGTCCTGGAAAAGCACTTTGCGGTGAATGTGTGTGAGACTGTGACCGTGTGTGCGCATGTGTGACTGTGTTTGTATCCATGTGTGTGTGTGTGTGTGTGTGTGACTGACCGTGTTTGTTCATTTGAAAAACTCGAGGGGACAGAGCGTTCTCCGTCATCGGCCCTAAGCTGTGGAACGCTCTGCCCCTCCACGTCCGAACAGCCACAACATTGGAGTGTTTTAAATCTCGTCTTAAAACCCACTTTTATTCTCAGGCTTTTAACACCGCGTGAGTTGTGTGGTCCCTGTGTCTTTTTTAATTTTTGTTTTGTGTTTTATGATTTTTATTGATTTTATAAATTGACTATTTATTTATGTATTTTTTATTCTATTTTTTGTGTACTTTTTTGTTCAGCACTTTGGAACTGTTCTGTTGTTGAAATGTGCTATAGAAATAAAGTGGATTGGATTGGATTGGATTTGAGACTGTGTGTGTGTCTATGTGTGTGTGCATTTATGTGTGACAGTGTGTAGTGTGTAGCGTGTAATGTGTTGTGTATGTCTCCAACCTTTTCCAATCGAAGAGCTACTTTCATTCAACAGGAGAGGCAGAGAGCTACTCCTTTTATAGTAAGTAATAATAGCAACAAAGGAGGACACATGGAGACCACATGTAAAATATACTGTTATTACTGTATAAGCCTAAAAAAATAATAATCATATAATAGATATGTAATGACTCCAAATGTACTCATTGAAGATCATTTGTTAAATTGTAAATCCTTTGGCGAGCTACCTGAAAGAGGCTGGCGAGCTACTGGTAGCTCCCGAGTCACAGGCTGGAGACCCCTGGTGTAGCGTGCAATGTGTGTAACTATAGCAGATTTCTGTAGAAATGAATGAAGTAGATTTTAACAAAGGTCTGTTTAAGTTCCAGCAGTATACAGCTGTATACAGCAGTATACAACTGTATATAGCAGTATACAGCAGTATACAACTGTATATAGCAGTATACAGCAGTATACAACTGTATACAGCAGTATACAGCAGTATACAGCAGTATACAGCTGCTGTGTGATGAAACTTAAACATACATTAGCAGAATGTACATGATTCACTCATTCATCTGAAGTTAAATTATGTAAGTTTCGGCGCAGATCAAAGCACCGCGCGGAGCCCCGGAGCGGAGGTAAAGTTAGTCCGGAGAAGGCTGCGTGTGTGTCGGACACAGATGGGACTCACCGCGGGGCAGGAGGCAGAGCAGACTCAGGACCAGTCTCTGCGCTGAAGCCATGTCCCAGAGAAGTTCAAAGCCAAAACAATCCACCCGTGCTCACGTGTGCTCAGGTCTACGATCAGGTCCGCAGTGTGGATGAAGTGTTGAGGAGGCTGTGGACGAGGGAGGAGGGGGAGGGAGGAGGGGGAGAGGGGGCGGGGACAGGGCAGGGGGAGGAGGGGAAGGAGGGGGAGGAGGAGGACGACCCGCTCATGAGCTGCTTTTGTTTTGTTTTGTTCACTGCGCACGTGTCATTCCCTTTGGGGACGACTGTAATGTAACTGTAATGTAACTGTAATGTAACTACTTTAATGTAACTACTGTAATGTAACTGTAATGTACCGACCTCTATTCTGTCAGTGTGCCCCAGGGCAGCTGTGGCTACAATAGTAGGTTAACAGAGTCTGTCCTTTGACAAAAACATTTAAAAACAATGAAATAAAGTGTTCCCTGAGGCTCAGCGTAACAAGCCGTCGAGCTGGGTTAGGGATGCATACACCTGTAAATATGTATACACAAAAAATATATAGCTAGGGGTAAAAATGGATGGATGGATGGACAACATACACACACACACACACACACACACACATATATATAAATATACATACACACACATATATACATATATGTTTATATACATATATATATATATATATATATATATATATACATACATATATATACATATATATATATATATATATATATATATATATATATATATATATATATATACATACATATATATATACAGCAGCAGTAGCAGTAGCAGTAGTAGCAGTAGTAGCAGTAGCAGTAGCAGCAGCAGTAGCAGCATCAGTAGCAGTAGCAGCAGTAGCAGTAGCAGTAGCAAATATACATACACACACATATATACATATATATATACATATATATATATATACATATATGTATATATACATATATATATATATATATATATACATATATATATATATATATACATATATATATATATATATATATATACATACATATATATATACAGCAGCAGTAGCAGTAGCAGTAGTAGCAGTAGTAGCAGTAGCAGTAGCAGCAGTAGCAGCAGCAGTAGCAGCATCAGTAGCAGTAGCAGCAGTAGCAGTAGTAGCAGTAGCAGTAGCAGTAGCAGCAGTAGCAGCAGTAGCAGCAGCAGCATCAGTAGCAGTAGCAGTAGTAGCAGTAGCAGCAGTGGCAGCAGCAGTAGCAGTAGCAGTAGTAGTAGTAGCAGTAGCAGCAGTGGCAGCAGCAGTAGCAGTAGCAGTAGCAGTAGTAGCAGTAGCAGTAGCAGTAGCAGCAGTAGCAGCAGCAGCATCAGTAGCAGCAGTGGCAGCAGCAGTAGCAGTAGCAGTAGCAGCAGTAGCAGCAGCAGCATCAGTAGCAGCAGTGGCAGCAGCAGTAGCAGTAGCAGTAGCAGTAGCAGCAGTAGCAGCAGCAGCATCAGTAGCAGTAGTAGGTGCTACACATTTACTCGCCCACTCTCTCTCTCTCTCTGGGAGAAAACAAATTTACATCTGTTTTTGAAGGAATCTGTTGATGAATAATTCACAGAGCGGAGATGAGAGGGTCACGTAAACAGTGGGAGCACTTCCAGAGGAGGGGGGGTGAGGACGGGTGAGAAGGGGTGACACCTCCTGCCCCCCGCTCCCCTCTGCTCCATCTGCAGTTGTATCGTCATGTAGATTCAGAGATGTGGATTTATCCGTTTGTTACTGATGTTTGTGTGAATGAGTCTCGGTGTTTACACTTTTATAGTTTTAATTCCGTCTCAATCTAGTCTTACTTCTAAGCGGACAGCAGTGGGGAAGGTTGGCTCATTGTTTGGACCCGTGTCGGCTTTTCGCCACAGGGAAGACAGGAACAAGTCAAATCTAAAGTCAGTGCAAAGAACATTATACTGTCTGTGTTTCTCACCCGCCCGGATCCACGTCTAACCCTTGTTTCTTTGCCTCACCTATCCTCACCCATTCTCACCTGTGCCTCACCTGTGTCTAACCTGTCTTCACCCGTCCTCACCTATGTCTCACCTGTCCTCACCCGTCCTCACCCATCCTCACCCGTCTTCACCCGTCCTCACCTGTGCCTCACCCGTCCTCCCCGTCCTCACCTGTCCTCACCCGTCCTCACCTGTCCTCACCCGTCCTCACCTGTCCTCACCCGTCCTCACCTGTGCCTCGCCCGTCCTCACCTGTGCCTCACCCGTCCTCACCTGTGCCTCACCCGTCCTCACTTGTGCCTCACCCGTCCTCACCTGTGCCTCACCCGTCCTCACCTGTGCCTAACCTGTGCCTCACCTGTGCCTCACCCGTCCTCACCTGTGCCTCACCCGTCCTCACCTGTGCCTCACCCGTCCTCACCTGTGCCTCACCTGTGCCTCACCTCTGTCTCATCTGTGTGTCACCCGTCCTCACCTGTGCCTCACCCGTCCTCACCTGTGCCTCACCGGTCCTCACCTGTGCCTCACCGGTCCTCACCTGTGCCTCACCCGTCCTCACTTGTGCCTCACCCGTCCTCACCTGTGCCTCACCCGTCCTCACCCGTCCTCACCTGTGCCTCACCCGTCCTCCATTGTTCAAACCATAGACTGTATATTTTAACGGACAGAGTCACGCCTTTCTCCGCCGTTCTAACTAATGGGCCAAAAAATGTGCTCTACTGGAGCTATTCAAAATGGCCGCGAGCGGTCCCGCCCACAAGAAAATTGTGAAAAAACGCATCTGCGCATGCGTCAGCCGGCGCAGCTCCATTCATTTGAACGAGAGACTTCAAAAATTCACAGCGAGTAAACTAGAGTGGACCAAAAAAATGCACCCCCCTCAGCATTGACACACATGTGGAACGGAGCTTTGGGCCAAGAGCCAACTTTTGGTCCATCCTGTAAAGACGTTTTTGAGAGGTCTGCCGATGCTATATGTTAGCATTGGCTAATTCTTCTTCTGGGTCCACCCACATCGGCCCGGGGTGGTATTGTAAGCATGTCAGCGCACGTCATTTTGGCCACTTTTGAGCTGGGACCCGCCCCCACTGGTTCAAACAAATGTGACATCACTTTAGCCGTCTGTGGGCAGTTTCAAAATGGCCGCAGGGGCTGGAAATGTGAAAAAACACATTTGTGTGTTAGCTGCATTAGCCCCATTCATTTAACAAGTGCATTCAAAAGACCACAGCAACTAAACTAGACTGGTCCAAAAACATACAGTACAGACCAAAAGTGTGGACACCCTCTCTCCTTCACTGAGTTCTTTCCATGACTATTGGCTGTAGATCCACACCAGGCTGTGTAAGGGCTGTTTGACCAATAAGGAGAGTGATGGTGCTGGGCCACATGACCTCCACAGTCACCGGACCTGCACCCAGTCCAGATGGTTTTGAACCTGAACCCAGTCCAGCTGGTTTTGGACCTGAACCCAGTCCAGATGGTTTTGGGGCTGGACCACAGAGTGAAGGGGCCAACAAGTGCTAAGCATCATGGGAACTCCTTCAAGACTGTTGAAACCATTTCAGGTCCTCTTGAAGCTCATCCAGAGAATGCCAAGAGTGAAGGAGTATCAGAGCAAAAGGTGCTACTTTGAAGAACCAGAATATAACACATATTTTCACTTGGTTCATACTTTTTTTGTACGTACATAATTCACATGAGTTCATTCATAGGTTTGATACCTTCAGTGTCAATCTACAATTTTCATAATCATGAAAATAAAACTCTTTGAATGAGAAGGTGTCCAAACATTTTGCTCTGTACTGTTCACTCCCCTCAACATTGACAGCATCTGGAACAAAGACGACCATAGTAATTTTTGCTGTAAAGCCGTTTTCAAGATAAGATAAGATAAGATAATGTAGAGTTTATTAATCTCTGATGGAGACATGTACATGTCACATCTGAAACACTCAAGAGTGTGCAAAAAGAAAAAAGTGTGCAACATGTTAAATGCAGGATATATTATGTACAATAAAAAGTGACAATCAAGAAACAGTGTCAATAGTGCAGGTTTTTCAGTCCTAATGCAGTGACTTAAAGTGACTTATTGTACAGTCTGACAGCGGTGGGGATAAAGGCCCTGGTCCTCCTTGCACTGAAGGGGCCCAGCACATGGCAGCGTAGTGTATGGCAGAGGCCTGCTCACTCCGAAGGACCTCAGCCTCCTCAGAAGGACGTTGGCCCTTCTTGTACAGGGCGTTAGTATTATGGACCAGTCCAGTTTATTGTTAATGTGAACACAGGTACTTGAAGCTGTCCACCAGCTCAATGTCCCCCCCCTGGATGTTCAGCAGTGTGTGGGAAAGTGGTTTTCTGGTAAGAAGATGCCATACATAAGCATTGGCTAATATTTGGCTGTAGACCCAGGACTGAGGCTGTAGATCCAGGACTGAGGCTGTAGACCCAGGACTGAGACTGTTGGTTAAGAATTCTTGACTGTATTGAAACTCTGTCGTTGGCAGGAGCTGGTGGCTGCTGGAGGTGGCAGATGGCTGGGGCACCTCCGCGGCTCCTCTGGGAGACGGGCCCGCCCACACACCCATAACTCACCCATCCCTCACCCCTCCCTCACCCTTCTCTCACCCCTCCCTCCCCCGCTGAGGCTCACCCCGCTCTGTGCCACAGTGTGTACAGGGACGCAGAGGAACTTCGTTGATTGTGAATTGGTTGTTCTGAGTTTTGCTCTGGTCGTCATGGTGACCACAGTTCTGTGCTGAACTGTGCCGTGCGCAAAGTGACTCCGAGTCCCACACAGTTGTTGCATCAGCCGCAAAAACAGTTGTCAGTGAAGGAACAGGAACTAAACATCTGTAGCTGAGGTCTGAGACACACACAGGGTCTGAGACACACACAGGGTTTGAGACACACACAAGGTCTGAGACACACACAAAGTCTGTTACACACACAGGGTCTGAGACACACACAGGGTCTGAGACACACACAAGGTCTGAGACACACACAAAGCCTGAGACACACACAAACACACACACACACACACACTGAGGCTGAGAGACTGAACCTTCATGAATGTGTGTCTATGTGTGTGTCTCTGTGTATGTGTGTGTGTGTGTGTCTCTGTCCTGTGTGTCCTGGAGTTCCCCTTGACCTGCATGTACCCGCTGTGAGGTAATGGACTGATAGATTACAAACGCACACTCGGCCCCCAGGCGCAAATAGACACACACGCAGATACACACTCTGCCCCCAGACGCACACACACACACACACACAGAGATACACAATCCGCCCCCAGACGCACACACAGGGGCCTCAGGTGGCACTGGCCCCTAATGACCACAATCTAAGTTCACTCAAAGAGCCGCTAATCTGCCTCTGTTTATCTGAGAACTGTGTCCTCAGAGGACAGAGGAGAGAGGAGAGAGGACTGAGGAGAGAGGACTGAGGACAGAGGAGGGAGGAGAGAGGACTGAGGAGGGAGGAGAGAGGACTGAGGAGAGAGGACTGAGGACAGAGGAGGGAGGAGAGAGGATATCCTGTATGCATCCCACAATGGTGAAATATCAGTTTGATGCGTACACACATCAAGGCAAGCAGAGAACATCACTTCCGCACTGTGGGTTAAGTGTCTTGCCCAAGGACACAACAACAGCAGACATCAGTGGGAGTCCGTGGAGAAGGTCTTGTGGTGGACTTGAACCCACAACCTTCAGGCTCAAAGGCCAATGCTCTACCAACTGAGCCACTGCCGAGGGGTCTCTGACTCTGGTCCTGAACAAATAACTTGATCCTCTTGATTACTCTGTGATGCCAACTTCTGCCCATCCAGGGTCTCCTCCTACTCCTCTACTCTCTCCTCTCTCCTCCTCTCTCTCCTCTCTCCCCCTCCTCCTCCTCTCTCCTCCTCTCTCCTCCTCCTCCTCCTCCCCCTCCCCCTCCTCCTGGTGTGAGCTCGGAGCAGCCTTCTTGAAAATGCTCTTTGAAAGCTTATATGAAAGTGCATGTGGAATCGCCCTCTCGGTCAGATTTTGGGGTTACCATGCCAACCGCGGCCCACAGTCAGAACCACAGGGTGTGTGGGGGAGGGGGTGAGGGAGAGGGGGAGGGTGAGGAGGAGGGGGGAGGCCTAGAGACTCTGAAATAAAGATGAATTCTGTTGTTTCTGCTGCAGAGTGAATGTTTTGACACATTTTCATTGGTTCTTTGCCGTTTAATCTGATTTTTAAAAGAGTTTAAACGTCGGCCAAAATCTAAACTGGACTCAAAGTTCTCACTTCAAAAACATAGATTCTACAACGTTCTTCTCCTGCTCTTGTCTCCAGTGCATCTCTCTCTCTCTCTCTCTCTCTCTCTCTGTTCTCTCGTGTCTGGGGATCTCATTTAACTCCTGGAGTAAAGTCTTTGATTGTGGTCGGAGACACTCCCTGCTGCTGCTGCTGCTGCTGGTTGAATTTTAAAGTCTCAGCCTCAGTTGCAGTCTCAGTCTCAGTCTCAGTCTCAGCCTCAGCCTCAGTCTCAGCCTCAGCCTCAGTCTCAGCCTCAGCCTCAACCTCAGACTCAGCCTCAGCTTCAGCCTCAGCCTCAGTCTCAGCCTCAGTCTCAGTCTCAGACTCATCAGTCTCAGCCTCAGTCTCAGTCGCAGCCTCAGCCTCAGCCTCAGTCTCAGTCGCAGCCTCAGCCTCAGTCGCAGTCTCAGCCTCAGCCTCAGTCTCAGTCTCAGTCTCAGTCTCAGCCTCAGCCTCAGCCTCAGCCTCAGACTCAGCCTCAGCCGCAGCCTCAGTCTCAGACTCAGTCTCAGACTCAGTCTCAGCCTCAAACTCAGCCTCAGTCTCTGACTCAGTCTCAGTCTCAGTCTCAGACTCAGCCTCAGACTCAGCCTCAGACTCAGCCTCAGTCGCAGCCTCAGTCGCAGCCTCAGCCTCAGACTCAGTCTCAGACTCAGTCTCAGCCTCAAACTCAGCCTCAGTCTCTGACTCAGTCTCAGACTCAGCCTCAGACTCAACCTCAGTCGCAGCCTCAGCCTCAGCCTCAGCCTCAGCCTGTCTCAGTCTCAGCCTCAGACTCAGCCTCAGCCGCAGCCACAGCCTCAGTCTCAGACTCAGTCTCAGCCTCAAACTCAGCCTCAGTCTCTGACTCAGTCTCAGTCTCAGTCTCAGACTCAGCCTCAGACTCAGCCTCAGACTCAGCCTCAGTCGCAGCCTCAGTCGCAGCCTCAGTCTCAGACTCAGTCTCAGCCTCAAACTCAGCCTCAGTCTCTGACTCAGTCTCAGACTCAGCCTCAGACTCAACCTCAGTCGCAGCCTCAGCCTCAGCCTCAGCCTCAGCTTCAGCCTCAGTCTCAGTCTCTGACTCAGTCTCAGACCTCTGTCAATGGTCTGAAAATATCAATATTTAAAAACCTCATTATTTCTTATCTCTTTGAACACACAATGAATTAGATTTTCCAAATGTGCTTTTTCTAATCTCCTGCTTTGGGTCCATCAGGGACAGACCAGACCCAGGTCCATCAGGGACAGACCGGGCCCAGGTCCATCAGGAGCAGCAGGAGCAGCAGGTCCATCAGGAGCAGCAGGAGTAGCAGGATCAGCAGGATCAGTAGGAGGAAGGTTCTGCGAGAGAGAGTGGGGGAGAATCCTTTCATGTTCCTCATTAACCACAGTACAGCAGTGTGTGGTGGGGCCCAGACCAGACCAGAGCGGGCCCAGACCAGAGCAGGCCCAGACCAGAGCAGGCCCAGACCAGACCAGAGTGGTCTCAGACCAGACCAGAGCAGGCCCAGACCAGACCAGAGTGGTCTCAGACCAGACCAGAGCAGGCCCAGACCAGACCAGAGCGGCCCCAAAGAAACGGCTCCTATCTGTGGGTGGGGGATCAGAGCCGCTCCAGTGACCCGGCTCGGGGCCCTGTGTCTGGGCCGCAGCGATAGGACCGAGGAGGTGCGTGGGCTCAGAGGAACTCATCAAAGGGACAGGAGACAGGAGGAGGATCAGGAGGAGGATCAGGAGGAGGTGGGCGTGGCTCTCAGGTTATCACACTGCAGCAGAGGCTCTGATGTGATGTCACACTCTTTCATCTTTGGTCTCGAAGGTCGACTGCATTTCTATTGTTCAGGAAGAGCCCAAAGGACCAGGTGTGTGTGTGTGTCTGTGTGTGTCTGTATGTGTGTGTGTGTCTGTGTGTGTGTGTGTGGGGAAGCTGGGCAGAGTGTCAAAATGGGACGGCAGAACGCATATCAAAAGTTATAAATAAAAATATTTATTTGATTTAGTCCTGTCCCTTGGGTGTGTCTCCTGCGAGGTTCAGGGGGTTGGCCCACAATACAAAATGGCTGTCTGAGACACATCTTCAACAGGTACTAATACATTAATGAAAGTGGCATTAAAAGGGAAAAAGTAACCTGTTGTCACTGTGTGATTGTGTCTGTGTGTGTGTGTGTGTGTGTGTGTGTGTGTGTGTAGATTGTGAGTGTATGTGTGTGTGTATGTGTGTGTAGATTGTAGTGTGTGTGTGTGTGTGTCTTTGTGTGTGTGTGTGTGTGTAGTGTATGTAGTGTGTAGTATCTGGGTCCTACAGGAGGGTGTTAGATCCAAACCCCTGGGTCCTACAGGAGGGAGTTTGGTTTTGGAAACTCGTTTTGTGAAACTTCAAAAATTGTTGAAAATCTCAGAATTACGATAAAAAAATTTAAAGAGTTACAAAAAATGAATGTTTTCGATGAATCCATTTGTAATAATTCAACTATTTCTGAAAGATTTAACACAACAGCTTGAAAATAGTTAATTGTTTTTGTAGACTTAAATACTGATAAATGACCATAGAAACTGTGTTTACTAAACTAAAGAACGAGTGAAATACTTGGGTGTCAAATCCAAAACATGACACACGAGTATAAAACATCAGAGAGATCAAAGTTCTTTATCCTGATTATTTTTATGAATATTCCACATCCATATTAAAACACATCAGAACCACTTTAATTGATTGATTTAATGATTGAGCTGGCTAAACTCTGGGACGAGAGTTCAATAATAAACACATATGACTCGTACAATCCAACTATTTTCAGGTGTAATCGATTCAATTCCTCAAGCGATGATCTAACTTTAAAAGGATCTTTACCAACACCTCGTCACTCAGACCCGTTATTATTATAGACCCATTCTCAGACCTCATCTCTTAGTTCAGGAGCGCCCCCTTGGGGACAAGAGATGTAAACCCCAGTTACTTAATGTAACTAAGGTTCTATGAATATGTTGCGAAGCCCTTTAGGCTTCGCTAATGCATATCTCTCGGAAGCATCGCTTCCCGCCCTGAGAAGATCAAACGATCCACCCTCCAATCACCTTCACGTCCTGGCGTAGGCCAGTCCCCTATAAATAGGGCCATGCACCACAGCTCTTCTCCTTTCGAACTCAGCCGAATAAGAGAGGGCAGGCCTGCTGGGCTCGAAGCTAAAGGGCTTCGCAACATATTCATAGAACCTTAGTTACATTAAGTAACTGGGGTTTCTATTTCATATGTTGCTTCGCCCTTTAGGCTTCGCTAATGCATAACATAGCAAAGCACAGACCGATGTACTCCCAGCAGGCATGAACTCCGGTGATTGGAGCAAACTCGTGACCCACGTGCTCATACCGCAACCAAGCGGTAGAGACGGATGTCCTACGAGCCATAGAGAAAGGGATGCTGGGCCACCTCTCCCAAGAGTGCCCACGCATTCTCCAACCTGCAAAGCAGGAAAGAAATCAGAACAAACCTG